GTACTCGTCCACCGTGTTGGTCACTAACGCAAGGGGATGCGATCTGGATGGCCCGAGTCTTCCCCGATGACCTTATGGCTCGATTGCGAGACCACCATCGGGAGGGCTTGATTGTCCTGCTTGCGCGGACAACGTTAACATGCACTCTCCGTCTCATCGTAGAGATCCGAGACGCTGCAGGTGGTGCGATAAGGGCGACTACCATTGGGAATGCCCGGGCTGTAAGAAGAACTACGGGAAGAACAAGCCTGGACGCGCACTACCATCTGGCAAATACAAGTTTGCCAAGCCCTGGAAGTTGCCCGACAATCATGGACAGATACCGCCGGTTCCCGCCGAGCCGGCAGCAGGACTTGCACCGCCAGATCATGCTGAGGCAGCAGCACCACCACCCGAGGCGCCAGCAGCATCACCGCTCGCGCGACTAAGAGCACCGAGACCCGGCTCGAGAGCCGGACCCACCGCGGGCGCAAGCAGTCACGACATTACTGTTGGAAGACATGCTGCTGAGCCTGCTGCAGGGTAACCTGCCTCGAGTGGATCTGGTAGTTCGGATGGCCATCTCCAACTACCCCATGTTAGAGTCAGACGTGGTCGTCAACGAGGTGGAGAAGCTCCACCACCACCACCAGCGGGTGGCCCTGCTGCGCGACCACGACTACCAGACTGTTCACGGTTCGATGTACAAATCAGTCTACAAAACCTACGAAGCCTTCCCCCTAGCGTGGTAACACGCGAGTTGCGAAAGTTACACTTACGCTGGTTCCACGCGAAGGAGCCTAAGATGAGACTCGTCTCAAGCAAAATAGGTCTGGACAGTGTCAGACTCAACCTCATAAAAGGTGTCTGCGACACATGCCGAGGATGCAGAGCTTGGGACAAGCCTGGACACACTGTTCTGCCCTCTACTGCATCACCTGGCAAATACAATGAGGAAGTGGGATGTGATCTGGTGTTCTACAAACCAGAACACAATCTATTCAACATTATCGATCGCTGTATACGGTATGCTACTGGGATTGAAATTCCAGACAAGACTATGACCAGTTTCCTGGATGCATACCTTCAATGCTGGATGCAGTTTGGACCGGCTAAGGTACTTTACTCTGATGGAGAGGGTGCCTTCAACAACGGCGCTATGAAAGCAGTCCTCAAGGCAAAAGGCACTGAACTTAGGATACGTGCGCGTGGACAGCACGCTACAACGATCGAGGCCAGAAATGGCATCCTACGCCATATGCTTCACGTCGTGTAGGCTGAACTCAATAGGTTAGACATACCTCTTGTGTTCACCCGACTACTGCACGAAGCCTTGTTCGCCGCCAACGCGTTCACCTTCTATAGCGAGGTGTCTCCATGCAACGCTTTACTTGGACGGCAACCAGCAATGCTCCCTGACCCCCCTGTTCCGGACCACGAGCAGCCGACGGAAACATTGGATCATTCTCGTGAACAGACGATGCGCAGGGAATGTATTGAAGCACGCACATGCCACAGCAGCAGCTCAGACCAATCACTAGCATGACGAAGGAGACTTGGTCGACTACCGTCGCCCTACGACCGCGAAGGATGACTGGGGAGGCTGGAATGGCCCGTTCCCAGTTGTAAAGAATCCCCCCGGAATGGGTCAGGTCATCATCCGAGTGGGCAATCGAGATGTTCAAGTACAACACGGCGACGCAAGGCATTCATTATACATCGAAGCACTCATAGCCCGAGAAATTGTCCCCGACAACATTGCACTACGCACAGTGTTAACATTCGTAGCCAGCCTATCAGCGGGGAGGCCAGCTTTGACCTTTGGCTATGTGCCGACCAAGAAAGGGACGCGTCAGATGACGACCGTAAGCCGTCTATCTCCTGAGGTACATTTGACTCTACAGAGTCTTATCATAAACTTCTTTCGCGTTGAGAATGTAGTTTCAGTCAGATTAGCCAGGAGTATCCATGAGCTACCTCCGGTTACTTATGCCGACAGCTGCACATTGGTTCATTGCGACAACGACGTGACGCCAGGGTTTAATTACTACGAAACAGAAGGTACTGCTCTGAATATGCATGATATAACTTGATCAGCACATTCACGAATTATCCAATGCCTGAAGTCCACTAAAGCTCAAGCAGGTTTAGACCAGGACATGTCAGAATTTGAGGAATTGGCAGATACGCCGACACCTGATGGGACCGCAAGAGAAGCCTCAGAAGCCGAACCAGCACATGCTGACGGACGGCTCTCGGCGATTTACGTAGAATCAGAGGCTGATCTGAAGTCGCATGTCATGGAGGTGTGTGGTACGCAGAATTACAAGGGGTAAGGGAACTGTTGGAGGCAGCTCCACCAGAGGACCTTCTTACCGCAACTGCACAGATGGTTCCAGCTCAGAGCGTGCTGATCACTATAGCTGATGAACAGCGGGGACACCTGCCGAAGTGGGGGCGCACTCGCGACTCCGATACCGAGGAGACGTACTACGCCCCCATGTGCACCATGGTTGAAGACGACGGCTACGGACTCGACTCGGACGAAACTGGTCGATGCGTCGAAATCTGCTTTACGACAGAAGTGTCAAAGGTAGTCTTGTCCGAGCAACAACGCATGATAGTAGATGCCGACCAGGTGACCACTATGCGAGTATACGTTGCCGCCTCTGCAAAGCGAGCTGTGGTCGTCAATGAAGACGACCTCCACGCTACAGCTGACATTCAGGCGAATCCCGATAAAGTATCGAAGGCCCTCTATACTGAGCTCAAGACATGGTTCGACAACACATGCTTTAAGATGCAGGAGATAGCCAAAGCGTTGAACATCATGACTTCGAGATAGTGCACACATGGAAGTTCGTGAAGAACGAGAAGGGCGAGATGGAACGTACCATCCGGCTACGCTTGGTCCTCCGAGGCTTCATGGACCTTGAAGCTTTCGGCGTGGAGGCATTGCGGGAACAGCAAGACGGTCGAGCCAGAGGTTACTCGCTAGCACGGCAGCGTGCAAGAAGCAGTGGATCACTGCTTCCCTCGACATCAACATGGCCTTCCTGAAGGGATTGGCCTATCGGGAACTTGCTGAGGCTACTGGTGAAAGGGAACGTGTGGTGTGTTTTACTTTGCCGCCTGGATCGGCCACCGTGCTCCGTGCTCTTCCAGGATTCGAGCGCTACGACGAGTCAAAGCACTGCCTGCAGTCCTTAAAACCGGGCACAGGCACTAAAGACGCTCCACGGGCTTTCTCACTTAAGCCCAGAAGAACCACCGGAGGCTTTGGCCTCCGACCCGCGTCCTACGACGAGGAGTTCGAGACGAGTAATAATTTGCTCACGGCCAAGCATGTTGATGACATTAATATGGCCGGCACTGAGGACGCCATTGACCAATATGTCAAATGCGTTGAATATACCTTTGGTAAGAGTAAACTCAACAACCACACATATACCAGCTGTGCTGTGAGATACACCAAGGATGAGGACGGCAATGTCACTTTGGAGCAATATGAATACATCAAACAGCTCCGTCGTCTACAACATCCCGAACTGACCGGCGCCGGCGCTGACGCTCAAGCAACCGAGATGGTGGCAGACATTTTCGTCGGCCTCAGGAGTGCGCTGGCATGCGCACTAATCACCCAAGTGTGGTTAATATTGTATGTTGTATCTCCACAGCGTGTCCAAGAACCGACCGACATTCAAGTGCGACGACTGAGCGCGATCGCCAGAGAGCTACAGGCCTGCCCGGAGAAGATCGCTTACCAGGCGATGGACCCCACGGGCGAGGTCGACTTACATAGCGACTCAGGATATCGACGCCTGAGTTGAGACGCCGATGACGACGTCAAAGGCTATGGTATTCGCGGGGCAAGCCTGTTACGACGTGGAAACGCGTTATCTGGTAAGCCTGTCGTTCACTTGATTGATGCGTACTGCAAGTCTCACCGCTGGCAGGTCCGCTCGAGTTATTCAGCGGAGACATTAGCAGCGGCCCATATTTTGGAGGACTGTTATCCCACGATTGTGACTCTGCACGAGCTCCACGCGGGGCCGCTCGCACCCACCCAGTTGAAATATATACTTGAGTTGGGTGGCCTGAGCATCAAGGTCACTCTGACCATTGATGCTGAGTTCGTTTTTCAAGTCCTTGTCGAGCAAAGACTTGACGGAGCCGACTGAGTGTGCCCTTGTAGGACACATCGGTTGGATACGACAGATGATGGAACGTGGAATCGTGCGCAGCATTCAATGGTGTGATACCCGCGATATGACTGCGGATGCCCACACCAAGGGGAGCATTGACAGAGAAATGCTCCTACAAGTCATGGAAGGTATACAGACCTTCAAACATGACCTGGAGAGACATGCTCCATATCGGGCGGGCCAGACATCAAGTTCTGACGCCGCCTGATGAGTGCGTCATATACATGCGAGGCAACTTGCTAGCGGGTTCACCTTCCTTTGGGCCCGCTTCCTCGTCTGTCCTTGTGTAGGTTAGCTGCTATGCCTGCTGTATAGGGTCGACGGGCTCACGCTTCGTCTCCCCCCCCGACTCTAAAGCGAGCTGAGGGGCGTAAGGAGTGGAAGCGAGCGTGCGCCCGCGGCCGCGTCGGCTCAAGCGGCCGGCCGCCCAAATTTGACTGTGCCTCACTGCGAGGCACACAATCGCTATCGAGACCAAAAGGATCTTCCTAGTGCTTGAGATGGCATCTCCTCTCATACTGGGACTATCGTTATTATTGTACAACAGAGTTGGAGCTTGGCTTCGCCTGAGGCGAAGCTGTTGGCTGGGCCTTCCAGCCCCCTTCAAACTCACCCTCCCCAGTCCTCCATGCTGTCGCGACGACATCACGATGGGAGAGCTTTCCGCATTTCCGGCCACCGTGGGCCCCCGCCAGGAGCCAGGGCCGCCAAAGAAAAGCTCGGCATGCAACACCGGCCCCAGGGGATGGGTCCAGAGCGCCCGGATGGAACCGATACGTCGTAGATTTGGACCCCTCCTCGCCCCCCTCCAGCCAGGATGCCTTCGAGTACCTGCAGCTGCCAGCTCGCGACGAGCCCAGCCAGGACCTGATAGCGTTCTGGCCCGCGGCCTGCGCCTTCGTCGAGGAGGCCTCGGGCGCCCCCGCTGTGCTCTCCTCCTTCCCCTCTCTCCCGTCCTCCCCCGGGTCTGCCCCCTTTCCCTCCGCCTGTTCCCTTCAACTTCCTCCACAGTTGCACAGGTTTCCTGGGAAACGGATTTGCGTTTTCGTGTTTGTTGTTGTTGTTGTTATTGTTGTTGTTGTTGTTGTTGTTGTTGTTGCTGTTCTTTTTTCAAAATGCTGCTCTCGCTGCGGCGCTGGCTTCGTTTTCGGCCCACCGCTCGTTCCGAATCGTGCCCCCGCTGCAGCGCTGGCATCATTATTTCCAGCGCCATGCCACGACATGATTTACGGTCCTTCCGAATAGGTTCCAATATCTAGAAAATGGACTCCCGAAGAGACCATTGGAAGTGATTACACATTCGGTGTCGACTCGTTGATTTGTTGGGCCGCAGACGCCTCCCACTTTGTGGCGTCGCCACGCCATGCTATGTCAGGCTCCGCGTCCTCCGAGTCGTGCTTCGTGCTCCAGCTGCAGCGCTGGCGTCATTATTTCCAGTGCGGTGCCACGGCATGGTTTCGGTCCTTCCAAGTAGGCCCCCAAATCTAGAAAATGGTTTTCCGAAGAGACCATCGGAAGTGATTACACATTCGGTGTCGACTCGTTAGTTTTTTTGGCCGCAGAAGCCCCCCCCAACTTTGGGGTGTCGTCAAGCCATGGTCTGTCATGCTACGCGTTGATCGTCAGCACCATGCTATGTCATGTAATGCTAAGCCATGCTACGACATCCGATTGTGCGAATAGATGAGTGATCTACGCCATTGTAAGGGATGGGAGGGAGGGGTAGAACGTCAGATATGACGCGAGCGCACCTATCTTGTCCCCATTCCCCTCCCCCTCCTCCCCCTCCTCCTCCTCCTCATTCGAATCGGATGCACCGTTGCGATTTGGCTGGAACCATCGGCGCGAACGCATCTGACAAGGTAAACGTTCGGCATCTCACATGTTTTTTTCTCACCGCCATGCATCCCCCGCAATTGTAGTTGGCAGCGGAGCTGTGAACGATCTTGACTCGCGATCCACAGAAGACGCGCAGATTGCGATGTGGATGCACGTTTGCATTCTCTCACCCTCCGTATTGGTACCACATTCCAGTCACTGGAAAGCCTGTGCTTATGGGTGTTTTGCACAGGCCATTGTAATCCGCCCAACTCACCCTTCGGCGCGACGAGGCCAACGCCTACGACCGCAAGTGGCCCTGTGATTGGTGTACCGTGTCTTGGGAGATAGATGGCCAGTTGTAGGTGTGAGCTTATCCAAGGGGGCAACAATTCCCCAGCCACCCACCACGAACAACTTCCCCGCTCTGGCAGTGGGGCGTCGTCGATATACCTCATAGTTGGGCCAGCTCTTGGGTTCGGATTGATCGCAGTGGTGCTGGTCTTCTTCTTACTCAGCACGTTGCGCACTCCGAATGGCTTCAACCTGGTTGTTGAGATTTCCGTTTCACCACCTTCGCGCGTTATCGAGGGCCCCATCAATCTGACAATTGTTGCAATTGGTAAGATGGCTTTCGTCCCTGGACAGGAGCGAGCCCCAAGGTGCAGGACAGGAATGCATGTACCGGTAATGGTATCCTCATGAGGATCTCCACATTGGTACTACTGATCAGCATCCTCGTCCTCTCCGTGGCCGCCTTGTTCTGGCTCATCAGCATGGTGCCTGGAGTTGGTTGGTCAAGGTGGAGGCTGTGGCAGAGGCGGAATCACGTCCCGCCAGCCAGCATCCTGGTCACCCGAACGGGAATCAGTCTGCGCGTTCCGCCACGGGGTGCCGGACTTACTCGCGTGGAGTGTACTCGCCGCCGACATTGACAGCGCCCAGCAGTGTGCTGCCATCATCCTTAACCTGGGCGGCACCGCCCGAAAATTTACTTGTCCGCGCAACGACACTACCGACGCAGTGCTCTAGCGGTTCCTCACGGTGCCGAGCAACGCGCCGAGGTGGATCTTCGATGCCGTAGGGGGGCTGCAGTTGGCTGCTCCTCCAGGCGGTCGGTGCTACCGCGAGCCAGCTCATGGCGCTGCTCCAGCCCTGCGGCGACCGATATCCAGCAACCGAGCAGGAGTTCAATAGTCTCTCGACAAAGTCCAGGCGTCTTGGCCACATCGTGGAGCATGCACCAAACGATGTCCCTGGCACCTTCCGTGCCCCGCCATCCTTTGGAGGTTTCGTAGGTATGGCCAACGACAACAGTAACGTCGCCAGCGCAGCATGCCCATGCCATTCACGCGGGCGTGATCCTTGGGCTGCTTACGCGGCCGAGCTCCCAGGTGCCAGATGTGGCTACTCGTGCGCTGGCAGCGCTCGGCCGTGCGCCGCGCCGCCGCAGGCCGGGTATCCTGCCGCCGCGTGGCCACGCGCCGAGGATGCGTCCGCCCACCTTGAATCTGGCGGTGGTGCCAGTTCCGACGCCAGGTTAGGTCTCGGAGAAATTATCGACTACGCAGCGGAACAGTTCAGAGGCTTATTTCCAAGTCAGATCGACGCCCAGATGTCCTGGCAGACGAGACGCCACAAGCGTCAATGGCGACGCCGATTGAACGAACCCACGTGAGGAGTCGGAAGATTTTTGAAGAAGATGGACGATCGTTCGCTGGGAGAAGGCAGCGTAATTAAGAATGGCACGGATGTTCAGGAGTACGCGTTCCTCGCCGAGCTGACCGGCGACCACGTCGATCACGTCATTATTGGATGGGGCCAATGGCACAGGCGAAGGCAATCGTTCGAGCGGCGCAGGCAAGGGCCGCAAGACGAACCCAAAAGGATGCGACGAGACAGCGATGACGCGCAGTTTCCAGGGGTCGGGGTGCCGCTTCCGAGCTGAGCGCACGGGCCAGCATGCCCTGGGAGTTCAGCTCAGGTGCCCGAGAAGGTGGGCCTCTGAGTTTCGGATGACGTGCGCCCTGGATGCGGGGCCTCTCTCTGGCATGTCAGTTGTTGCCTTCGTGGTCGCCGAGTATGCTCCGCTGCCGCGGACTGGGCCCAGCACTTCGCCAGTGCAGCTTGACGCCGAGGATTTCTCCGAGTCCATCCGCTGGTCTTGGTCTGCCGCGTCTCCTGCCGCGTTCCAGGGCCACGCGTGCGCTGGCGCGCCTGCGGTGCTAACCTCCTCCGCAGATATTCAACGTGGCGGGGCCTGCGTCGGGCCCCCGAACGCGGGCGTTGCCGCCGTTCCCGGGCGCGCCGCCGCAGCCTTGGAACCGGCGGCGTCGCGGCATCGCGGGCGGGATTTTTGCGCCCAGGCGTTCGCGCAGCTCCTCGGACTTCCGCGGCGTGGGGCACCGGTGAGCTCGCGCTCGTCAATCAGCAATGCTGCGCGGGGGCTTTCATTCGCCCGGCGGGTCAGCTCGCGGTCCGGCGATCAGCGAGGCAACGTGCCCCGCGTCAGCGGATTCGGTTCAGTAGGTGGGCTCAGACAGGGCCGGCTAGGGCAAGCCGCGCCGCGGCGCCTGTTGGGCTGCAACGCCGCGGCTACGCGCGCCCCGCTGAGTTCCCGACCGCATTTACCATGGCCAACGTCGCGCGCGTGTTCGCCCTCGAGGTCTCGGCGCGACTCGCCGCCCTGGCCAGCCGCGGGACAGAGCGCGACGCTCAGATGGAGCGACGCCTCGCTCGCCGCCGTTAGCAGGCCCGACAGATGATCAACCGCGTGATGAATAGACCACCATCCGTATCTCCACCGCCTCTGCCTGAATATCTACGAGCCAGTTTTGTTGCTACTGGCGTGGAATGTGACGGAAAGGCCATGTGGGCCTCTGTGTAATGCTCCAGTCTGGTCATCAGTATCGTCGGACTCGTGCCGACGGAGGCCGGTTGCCGAGGCGGTCAGATGTTTGCGTCATTCTGTCAGTGCCCAGCGAGCAGGCAGCAACTCGTGGCGCGCGAAATTGCGCGCGCCCGCGCTGTTGCCGCCCCTCGCCCCGCTGCAATTGCGGACGTAGCGCTCGTCGCAACTCGGAGAGTTCAGACGCAAGAAATCATATTCGCGCGCTGGCATCCAAGGGGGGGGTGGCAGTCGCCGCGGGGCCCGCTGCGGAGTGGTGGGGCCGAGATGCCTACGTGTCCCTGGTGGCCCGCCGACGATCCAGTCAACGAGTGCGCCATCTGGGCATGCCGCAGCCTTGCTCCCGTTGCCGCGGGTGAGCGCAGCGCGATCGTTGATTCAGGTGCGTGGGCCAACCTCGTGGGTCCGACGCTCGCGCGCCAGCAGTGCCGTCGCGTCGTCGACGCAGGGCGCCAGCCACGCTGACCGCTCATGAGCCAGCCCTTGAGCATCCGAGCTGTTGGCGCCAGGGCCCATGAGTGCACCCGTCAGGTGAGCGCCCCTGTAGTTGTCGCAGATGTTCAGGGCCGCGCCGCGTTCCGGAGCTTCGCGGCGCCCGTCTGGCGAGTTTTCGGCCGCGAGCCACGTGGAGCACCGGGTCTACGGTGCACGGGGCTTACGCGCGCAATCCTGGACATGGGCGACCACGAGTCGATTCTCCGAGGGGTCGGCGTAGTACAGGTCCAATGGCCAGCGAGTGCGGCCCGCGCGCCTCTGCAAAAAGCACCGAGCGGACACCTCGTCATGCTCGTCGACGCATTCGAGCGAGCGGTGCAGTCGAGCGGCGGAGTCCCCGACCGCTCGGTGCAGCTGCGCGCGCATAGTTGCGAAACAGAGACGGAGGCTGAGGGCGTTGCGCCTGTGGCAGCTGCTGCCTCCGCTGCGGAGGCTGAGCGTCTGTTCTCCTTCGGCTCTCAATCAGCTGGCGGCCCTTCGCGGGCCGCCGCGGCACTCCTTGCCGGGGGCCTAGCATGCGCGGAGCCTGCTTGCGTGATTGAGTTTCTGCCAGGCATGGTACGAGCTCTTGAGCAGCGCGTTTGGACAACCTGCCCGATGCGCGCTAGCGGGCCCGCCGCCGCCCGATACTCGGTACTTCTCAGCGAAAGTCGTTCGACGCACTCGTGGACTTGTTGGGATCATGGTGCCGCCGCAACTTCCCTTTTCTACTGGGGGCAATGCAAGTGTGCCTTCGATCTTGCCCATGAGCTTTCATTGGTGTGTGTGTGTGTGTGTGTGTGTGTGTGTGTGTGTGTGTGTGTGTGTGTGTGTGTGTGTGTGTGTGTTTGTTTGCGCTGGTCCATCGTGTGCAGCCGTCGATTTTGCTGGCAGGATCAACGCAAATAGTGAACTCGCCACGTCCCCAGCAGTAAGCATGAGACTGGCCGCCGTCTGTCTCTGTCTCTGGCAGTAAGCATGAGACCGGAACCGCGATTTCCATCGCCGACCCAGAGCGACCCAGATCGTGGCGACAGTTTGTTTCGGCGGTATTTTGGCGTGCGCATGCCCGCCAGCCCTCGCGCATTCAGCCAGCTGGACCTCAGTTCCCGGGCGCCGCCCGGGGCCGGGCGCGTCGAGCGAGCGGCGCGCCGTTCGAGCAGCGCGCTCGCAGGCAGTGCGATTCAAGGCAGAAGTGCCGCAAAGGCTTCCACGCGCGACTGGTGAGCCATTTCGGATTGGGGGGGGTTTTGTTTTTTTTGGCCCGCTGATAGCTCGGCGGCTTCTCTTGCGGGGGCCCGGCAACCTTTTGACCGGGCTGCTTGTCTCCCGACTCGAATGCGCGTGGCAATTCCGAATGGCGAGAAGAGAATTAACGCGACGCAAGTACGTCGCCAATTGCGGAGTACTGGCCTGCAGATTTTTGGGTGGGAGCATGATGTCTTGTTTTCGCGCGTTGCTCCGAGCCGACCTCTCGCGCCCGCGCGAACCAGCTGCCCGTTCCCAGTCGCGAGTCTGGCGCAAACGCGAGTCGCGTGCATGGGCCCCGTTCGTGATCCAAACAGTTGTCATCGACCTTCTTGCATGGAAAGATGATGGCGCGCGACGCGAGGCCGCGCCCGGCGAGTGGGCGGGCGCGACCAATTCCACGGCGATTTCCTCGCCGCCCCCTTGGCCGCCCCCGCGGGGGAAGCCGCGCGGGCCGAGGGGCGCCAGAAACGGGGTCGCGTGCCCAACGGGCGCCAGCAGACAGTCGATGATGCCTCCGATGACGTCGGTGATGATCTGTCAGGGCTGGGAACAGCGGAAGATTTTTTTTTTCAATTCCCGCGCCGTATGTGCATGTCGGCGGTGAGCACCTGGCCGAAACCCTGGCGGCAAGGGCCGCGGTCGGTCTCCGATCTGCGTGTCCATTTCGGTCTGCCAGGCCGCCAGCTAACGGCCGGCCGTCGCTATGGCCACCGCGTGGTGCCAATGGGTGGA